ATTTCATGAGACTGAGATTCCTCCCTACAGTGGGTTCCTCATCCCTTTGCTAGACAGAATCATATGAGCTCTTCCACAAGACAGACAGGTGGATCGTTTGCTGGTTTTAGGAGCCATATCTAATCTAGCATATCCACTTCTCTGAATCTTTAATCTATTCCTGTATCACTTAGCACGATGATTTTGACATTGATGCTTCATTTAGTGCAGTCCATTGCTTTTACCAAGTGTCCAAGAGCCAGCCCATAAGCATATCAGCCCCATTCCCTGTGGCCCTTGCCAGGGAGTGAGCCTCCCATCATGGAAGAATGCTGCTGTGTTGATAACCTCTTTGGCTCAGTTCCATGGCCCAGTCCCTTTGGCCCAGCCGCAGCAGGATCTGGTCCCACCCATGCTCGCCAGTGTACTGCTGGAACATCTGGCCAGTCCACGGGATCTCCCTTCCTCACTGGGCTCAACAGAGCCAAGCTTTGACTTCTGAGTTCTCCCCTCCCCTGACCTTACCATAGCTGAGACACTGATCCTCCAGCTCAGCCCAGCAATGTGCCAGGGTTCATCCAGATACCAGCTGTACCAGGCAGAGTCCTCACCACCACCAGGCAGCACATGACACAGGCCCTCAGTCACATTAGAGCCCAGGTCCTCAAATCTTTCATGGTACCAGCAATCTCAGACCTAGTGTACTGGAATTAGGCTGAAGTGGGAAGGTGGGTGCAGAGGTGTGTAAGAGGGTGGTTATGGCACCACACACACCAGGCAAGAAGGGCACAAGACTGACCAAGAGGGGGAAGCCACAGGGAGAGCCCACTGGGGGTCCCAGAGTCCTGTGATCCTTCAGAGCTATCCAGGCCTGTGCTCCTGGCCCTGCTTGTTCACTGAATTTGGCTGTGCCCTGAGAGGGAGGAACTCTGGGTGAGAGAGCTCATTCTGGCTCTCCATGGGCTTTGAAAATCACTCCTGGGGACACACCCAGGAGTGAGCCCTGAGCAGATACCAGCCCTGGCAGCTGGTGGCGTAAGTGTCTGGGTCCTGCAAGCCAGCATCACTACCGCCACCTTGGGGGTGGGAGGCCGGGATGAGGACTCAGGGACCATCCCATGGGGTTCCTCTTATTCTGGGCTGTGAGAGCCTGGCAGGAAGAGACAGTGAAAGAGACTCAACCAGGACAGATGGGGCATATGGTGAGGGCTTAAATGGCCGGAGTAGGATCTCCGGCTTTGTCCACCCTGCCAAGGAGATCAGCCAAAGGTTTTGAAGATTATTTGGGGTGGTGATTGCAGCCTCCAAAGGAGTCCCAATTTCCAAAGTGTCCCTTTGGCTGCCTCTCCTGTAGACTCTTCTTAACCGGCTGGCTCTGGCCAACTCAAACACATACACACACGTACCCACCCCCTCCCCCAATCGGCCCCCTTCAAATTGTCACTCCCCACAGTGCCGCATTCATGCATCAGCTCTAAATAGTCCCACTGTTCGGCTTTAACGAGAAGTAATACCAATTCCCATGTTTGCTCAGAGAGCACCATATTTCATCAAACCAGAGCCCATGCCGGCTCAGATTACTGACCGAGACAATGTTCTGTAATCCTGGCTCATTCACATGTCACGGGTATTTTAGCAAAACAGAAATGAATGGCCCGCGCCACCCTAGGAAGTAACGGGAGAGTTGGGTTCCCGCCCAGGGGAAGTCAGGCTTTCGCCTGCCACAGCTCTCAGAGGAGCTGCCTTTGATTCTCCGAGGTTTCCCGACTTTCAAGAAAGAGAATATGGGCTAAGGAGGAGTCCTGAACTGGGTAGTTATTTCCCTATAAAATGTGAACTCCATGCATGGATTTTGCCACAGCAAAAATAAAATCTGTCATTGATTATAAAGTCCTTTGTGCTTGCTATTTCACAGATTTATTGCACTCGGGCCCGGCAGCCTGGGGAGGCCCTGGATTCTTGTCTCTAGCGCCCCACAGCTCACGCACCAAATGGGAACAGGGACTCCCTTGCGTTTCTTTTGTCCTTGAGGGCCAAGAGCTTTGAAAATCGAGATGAAGAGCTGTGAATCATCCTCCCGCAGACACTGATAGTAACAGCTCCTTGGCAGAGGCCTGAGACTTCCTAATCAAGGAAACAGCCCTGCTCCCTCTCCTTTCCTTTTCAGTTCTTGGCACTGTACGCACTGAGAAATATATTTCCTCCACAGAGAAGGAGCAGCCAGCCCGGAACCTCTCACCAAATCTCCCAGTCCAGTTCCACTTTAAATGTGCTACAGCCTCTTGCAAACACACCATAAAAAGAGTATTAGCAACAATTGATGCGATTTCATACCATCTCCAGTTAGAGCCCTGCCAATGACCCTTGCAAGGTCCTGCTCATGTCCTCATTTTAGAGTTGAAGACACTGAAGCCAAGAGGAGGCAAGTGAGTTGCTTAAGGTCACACAGCTTGGCAGTAGTGAAAATAGGGATGTGAGCCTTGTCCCCATTGACTCCGCAGGATCGTCAGGACCCTCTCATTTCCAAGATGGGTCGACAAGAGGCCACAGACCCAGTACTGAGTACTGTAGAGAAAAAGCCCAGGGACTGATCATCTGGGACTCAGAGAGACCCCGGGACTGCCAGGGCTACAGGGCTACTTTGAGTTGCACACTGGCTCAGCCATAAATCGACTGGAGAAAATCATGAAACAATTGCTTGGGAACATTTCACTTGTTTATTTGGGGAGAGTTCTTGATGGATTTAAATGAGCAACAAACTTTCTAACCCTGAGCCTCCCCCCCGCCTTTTTCATCATTTTGTGGGTTTATGCATACCCTGTGGCCCCAGTCTATGTGGCAGAAAGGCCACCAAACAACCTCTTGCCTCTCTGGACTGGACACTCCCATCCTCATCTACAAGTTCAAGACCTCAGCATCCGGAAGGACAGCAGGATGCTCTGGGGCTGTCAGAATCATGGATCGAGGACTTGTCTCTGCGGCCCGCTATCTCTCCCTTACTCTGAGCTGCAGCCTGAGCTATTAAAAACAAAACAAGCTTATTGGCAAACTCCACAATTAGCCTCCTTTCCACGCTCCAAATGCTACTAGGCCTGAGCTGTGATTACACAGGGATTGTTTCTTGTCTTAGCGAAGCCGATTCAAGGGCCTTGCTGCGAGCCAGCGAGGATGTGACCCAGTGGTAATCCGAATTGCTTCACCAAACACATTTTTATCCCATCATCTCGGCCACATGAAAGGGGGCCACAGTGCTCCAGTGTTTGAAACTTTACAGTCCCGCTGTTCAGCAATAAAATGAGGCAAGAAATATTAGCCGTCCCTGGCTGATGCCTTAATTCTTTCCCAACAATGTCAGAGAATCTGTACCCTACAGGTTTTAGTGCCGGCTAAAGCCTGACCCTCCGGCGGGCTTGAATGCAGCGGGAATGAGTTAAGGAGGGCCAGAAGGCTTTAATGGACCCAGATCCCAATAGCCCAGCTTGTGCAGGCCCCCCACGGACTCACCCTCCTTTTCACAGGCCTCGATTGTGTATGGCCCCAGCAGAGACAAAACTACCCCTGAGCAGAGGTTACCCCCAGCCGGGGCAGGTCAGAGGCATTCTGGGGGAGAAGGCGGGGCAGAGGGGAAGTGAGGGGCACTCGGTGAAGGAGGGAGGTGGGGGTGGGGAGGGGGCAGTAAAAGATGGTCAGGATAATTTCTAAGTGGAGATGCATGTCTGAGCTGCAACCTGATCATTTCACCTCTAGGCAAATCTTTTCTTAAATTTACAGACAAAAATGGAAGCTGTACTAACGAGAATTAGGAGGCAATGTGAGTTGATTTTCAAATACAATAATAAATAAAATGCCCCTCCACGTTTTCCCAAAAGCTACAGGCTTGAGGTTCAGTCTCAATCAGATGGTCTCTAATTTGACAGTATGAGATTTTTCAAAAATTACAAATGGGTTGTGTTTTACACCCCGACAGAAGATTTTTCCAGCAATTTTTCAATTATTGCATTGTGAGCCCTCCAAGAAAAGTAACTATTTTGGCTCCAGACCCCAAATTTACCAAGTAAAGAGAACAGCATGTTCATAAGTTTGCCAATAGTCCTTTGAAATGTAGCGTAGATGGTATCCCAGAGCTTTCTAGAAGAACATAGAATTGAAGGGGGTCCTTCCCTTTCTTTAAAAGGATTCCTAAAGCTGGGTGTGGTAGCACACGCCTGTAACCTCAACACTCAGAGGACAGAGGCAAGAGAATCAGGAGTTCAAGACCAGGTTCGTTGTCAAAAAACATTTTTAAAATAACTTTGCAACATCTTAACTTAGCATTATACGTTCTTTTCCATTAATGCCAACCTAACAACCTGCTTAAAAATTACTATAATTTCAAAGTAGTGATGAGCAAAACTGACACATGGAGAAATCTGCAACAGCTTTCCTGTGCTGTGGAAGTATCTGCAGTGACAAAGTCACAGGTATAGCCACTGTAGTTGATTGCCCGGATTTCTAATATGGAGAAATACTAAATTTCAGTTAGAGGCAGTGAAAATTAAGATACAGTGTTTCCCTATCAAGTTCACAGAGGCCCGATTTCCACCCACGCAGAAGGAACCCTACCAGAGGCAAAAACAATCCAGGACCTTCTGCCCAGAGCTACTGCAGTCAGAGGCCAGGGACTCACTGCACAGGTTTCACTCAGGCTGCCTCTCTTCCTCCTCTGATGCACTGGAAACATGTTTTAAAGCAAACTGAAAGCATGTCCTTTTTCATGCAGTCCTATCCAAAGATTAATAAGGACCTTTGATGTATTTCTTGAAAAACTGGAATCGCCATCACTAAATAGTCAGCTAATCACTTAATTCTGAATTTTAATCAGGCTTTCCCTTCTTGCTGCCTTGAGAGTGAGGAGTTTTTTCTCCCCTTTTTTGGTCTGACCAGGAAGTGTTCGAGTTCCTAGACCAAACCAAACCATACTCCTGCGTTTTGGACACACTGGCTATGAGACAACTGGACACACACACCGTCTCTCTCTCTCTCTCTCTCTCTCTCTCTCTCTCTCTCTCTCTCTCTCTCAGGCCTCCTTGGGGAGCTGTCATCTTGCAACCACAGAGCCCTGCATGCCATTGCAGGGGCAACCCGGCAGGCAGGGCCCCTCCCCAAGCCGGGCTGACGGCGCCGACACACAGGAGCCGGGCGCAGGGCTGGGCTCAGCTCCCGACAAGGCGGCAGGGAGCGCGCTCGCTCACGCCCACGCCCCCCACGTCCGAGGTCGCACACTTGGCGCTCACCCTGCTGAGCGCACGCCACACACCAGGGCGCACGCACACCGTGAGGCTAGTGACTGCCCTGTCCGCGACATCGGCAGCCTAGAGCGATTGGGGAGCTCAGCCTGGTCCCCCGAGGGCGCCGCCGGCCGCCCCGCCCCGTCCCGCCCCCCGAACCAGCCGGGCCCTGCCGCCGTGGGCCGCAAAATTTGGCCGTGCGAGTCCCCCAGACAGTACCTGGCTCGTCTCCGCACCCGGTTACCGCCGCGGGGCTTGGGGGCGTGGATGCACCGCGCGCCCCTCGCCCACCTCGTTACCCGGAGTCCCGCACGCCCAGGCTCCCCGAGCTCCGCCTGGACTCCCGCCCCGCTCCGCAGTCCGGTAGGCATGGCGCGTGACCCCACGCGGACCGGACCGGAGCCCCGACTGCTGCCGCTCCTGCCTTTGCTCCTGCTGCTCCGGGACGCGGGCTGCAGCCACTCGGCCCCCTCTTGGCCCTTGCCGCCTGCGGCCGCCCCTGTAGCCGCTGACAACCTGCAGGAGTCACCCCCAGGGAACGCGGCTGCAGCAGCGCTGGGCCCAGGCGCCCGGGACGTGGTCGCTGTCCACATGCTCCGGCTCTATGAGAAGTACAGCCGGAGGGGCACGCAGCTTGGAGGCGGCAACACTGTGCGCAGCTTCAGAGCCCGGCTGGGTGAGTAGAGCGCCTGGGACCTTTCTCCTTCTCCCTTCCTCCTTGTCCAGCCTCCCCAGGCTGCTTTTCCCCTTTCTTACACTCCTTCATTCATTACTCCCCATCAACGCACTGAGCACTGTTCCAGGCAGGAGCCTCCAGTGAGGACCCCGGAGTGACACAACGGCGTGGCACAGGGTTCCCTGCCTCTGTGGCCTCCCTTAGCTGCAGGACAAAGGACACTCCCCACCCAGACACAAGCTTTAGGGGCCAGTGAGCTGGAGAGTGTGAGGACCATAAGGCCAGCTGCCTTAGCACTTGCTGCTGAAGGAGGGATGGTCAGGTAGACACACAGCAGCAGAAGAAGATAGCAACCTCCCAGGCCAGCTGCAGCAGTGAATAGTTTTGGTGGCAAGAAGTGGCATGCACTATGGGTCTTGGGTGCTCGGCACTGAGAACTTCAGGGCCCCAGCATGAAGTGTGCAGGTTGCGGAGGTTGAGGAAGGGTCCAGAACCCGGAGCAGTGGGAGCCCTGCCCCTCTCCTGTCTGGCAGCCATCTCCCTGCCTTCTTCCATGATAGATGGAGCTGGGCAGAGGTCCTCTGGGTTCCAGCTCCAGAAACCTGCCCGTTGGACTGGGCTGCCTACAAGCCCCCAGGAGAACAGAGGAGGTACCTCCTGGGCAGCAGGCATTATGGGAAGATCCTGGTTGTCGTAGTGATTGCTCATGGCTGCAGAGTGCTGTTCCAGAAAACATGAGTAGGGAACTCTTGCAACTCTGTGGGGAGGAGGCATTCATCAGGAGAACACCCTTCCATGTGCAGGCTGTCCTCCCTAAGTGGGAGGACACAAGGCCATCTTGCCTGGGGTCAAAGCAGTCACCTGTGCTTACAGGCTGTGTGACTCTAGGTAACACCTGTGGCCTTAGGACCAGACATGGAAAGCCTGGCCTCCCAGGATGTGGATGGGGGAGCACTGGCACAGAGCTGCGTCCTTTCTCCTCCCCGAGCAGACTCACCAAGTCAGTGGTCCTGGGCTCCCAGATAACCGGTCAGACTATTCTCCCTTGTACCTTTCATTTTCCACCTAATGTCCATTTCTGGAGCACCCTTATTAAATAAAGCCACTTAGGACTCATCTGGCATGATTACAACCTTGGTAAATCACTAAAGCCGGTGGAGTTGATTGTACTCACCTATAAATGGGCATGGTGTGGCTTGGGAAGTTGAAAGAAGGATGAAATGAGGAGCAAGTTCTGATCCCAGCAAGGGCCAGACTAAGTATCTTTCTGTTTTTATGGAATGAGGATGGTACCCCAAAAGGGCCTGGAGACAGTGACTCACATCCTGTGACTTATTTTCCAGACAGAGAAGCTGAAGCAGGGGAGATCTATGCATGGCATAGGTTGATATCTCTTGAGTAGTAGGCTATTGACGTCACCCTGCCACACACCCCCTAGCATCTCCATCAGAGACAAGCCTGGGCCGGGGAGCAGTATGGTGGAAAAGACAAGTGGAGAAATCAGAATTCTGGTGTAGTCCGGCACTGTCTGACACAGCCCTCTTCTTTAGAACCAAGAGGTCACCTTAAGCATAAATCCCACTTCTCCAGCTACTGGCTGTGCATGGTGGCACTGGCTGCTTTCCTCTTCTGAATAGCAGGAAGGCGGGGGAGACAGTGTCTGGCATAGAGGACATTGGTTTTTCTCCCTCTCCCCTGGCTCATCTAAGTCAAAGCTGTTTCCCACTCAGCCATGTGCCAGCCCTCAGACATGCTGCTTCCCCCTCTGGGGACCCATGTGCAAGGAGGGGTGAACCTGGGCGAGGATCCCCTATCCAGAGACAAGGCCACCAATGGGGGCGACTGCTGGAAATGACAAGTCTTGCCGACACAGGTCATAGTTGATGTTGCAGTTCTTACTCTATATGGGAGACAGAGGGCGTGGGCATGGGGTTGGGTAGACACAGGTTCATGGCCTGTCTTTTCCTTCCAAGGGATGTGACTTTAGGCTGGTTATGTACCATCACTGAAGGCTCAGCTCTCTGTCCACAGAGTGAATGACCCATCCCTGCCCTGTCTTTGCAGTAAGCAAGAGGCACTCAGGGCCAGGTGCTGAGCCCTGGAGCACAGAACTCCCATCACTGGCACCCAAGTATAAAAGTCCTAAATCCAAAAAGTCACAAATTCAAAACTTTTTGAGCACTGCCATGATGTTACACATGGAAAATTCCACAACCAACTTCATGTGACAAGTCTCATTCAAATGCAGATGTGCTGAAAATACTGTATGAAATTACCTTCAGGCTAACTTTACAAAGTATAGGAAATAGAAAAGAGTGTTGTCTTCAGACTGTGGGTACCATCCCCAAGATATCTCATCATGTATATGCATATGGTCCAAACTGTTTTTTTAAAAGTCTGAAATCTAAAGTATTCCTGGTCTTAGGCATGTTAGATATAGAATACTAAACCTATATTCTGATTTAAGGATAAGAAAAATGAGGTCCATGGGGAGGTCACTGGCTGAAGGTCCAGCGCCCCTCATCTCCAGTTGTGTTTGCACATCCAGCTGTTTCTTACCAAAGAACCAGGCTATCTCAGCTTCTTAAGAATATGGTGGCTGCACTCTAGGGCATAGGCCAGGGTCTCGTTGGCACCACTGGTGTTCTGTCCTTTCCTGCTTCTTGCAATGCAGAGCCCATTTAATATGCCCTAGAGGTCCCATCCTTTCTCATGCATCTCTGAGCACCAAATGCTACCTCTGCTATGTACCAGGACCTAGGGACACAGCAAAGAACAAAACTGACAAAGCTCTGCCTTCTCAGAGTTGATGGAGAGAACAAGGCCAGCAATAACAAATAAATATACATAATGTCAGGAAGTGCTTGAAGACAGGTGAGATGACAAGTGGCCAAGAGCAGCCCTGCGGCGAAGGCTGGTTAGGTGGAGACTTGAAGGAGGATCCAGGACACTTGGGTTCGGGGAGCCAGGCAGGGGAAGGAACAGCAAAGTGCTAGACTAAAGCCTCATGTAGAGTGGACAAGAAGGACAAGGGTGGAGGCAGAGGAAGGGATGGGCTGTCAGATTTAGGAGGACTTTGGTAAGGAGTGCTTTGTTTGGGGTTATGGAGGGCTCCAAGCAAAGGAAGTCTGAGGGCTGCTCCCAGCACACAGGGCTCCTGTGAACACTGCTCTGTGCAAGGGTGATGTGACCGGATCCTGCCCATGGCTGCTGTCTCTGTTACCAGACTCTTTCTCCATTAGGCAGAGCTTTCTCGTGCACCTTTGCCAGGAACCCAGACAGCAGACCTTTAGCCAGAGTAGGAGTTTTGCAGATGCTTTGTGGGGAGAGGGGATTGATACAAGGTGAGAAGGGAGGGAGGTTCCTTGCTCAGTCACTGTGAGTACAGTTCACTGGAGAGGGGGACTTGTCTTTGGGCTTCTCCCTTGTGGCCTGGGCACATCTCACCTGGAAACCTCAGGTAGGTCCTGTGCCTGCCTTAAGCCACAGCCCATGTGGCACAGGCAGGCACATGTGGAGGAGCAGCCAGCCTGTGGCCCCTCACTCCTTGGGGCTACAGTGACCCAGCTGGATCTCAGTAGGTCCTGGCAGGGAGGGTTCTCACAAGGCAGGCTGCCTAGTAAGCAGGGAGCTATCCCTGGCCAGAAGCACCCAAGCTCCATGGAGCTAGGATCCCTGCCCTGTCATGTGGCCTCAGTGACTTGTCCTCACTCTGGATCTGTGATGAGCAGAGCAGTCAATGTCTTAAGACATGATCTGGATAAATCAAAATACAACTGCCACGTTGGTTGGGTCAGGACCCAGGTGCCATGGGGTTGGGGAGTGGGGCTGCTCAAACTGGCACCGGAGGAGCTGGCCATACCTCCTTCTGTCTTTGCATAGCAGTGGCAGGAGGCATGTTTAAAGCACCTCCCTTGTTTGGGCATGCTATGTGCCATTTCTTTTAGCTGCAGAGATTTAGGTGAGGACTGTATGAGGCACGTGAGGACAGTGAGGCTCACAGCATGGTGCCATCCAACAGGGACTTGGAGCATTTGCTGCCTCGGGAGTGGGTACTATACTATGGTCACCTTCACCCACTCACAGGTTAATGTGCATGGGGCAGGAGGAGCCACCCGTGAGCCTCTCCAAACCACCCTTTACAAATGCTGTGCAGGGGCCCCCGGCTGTGGGTGACAGCAAGGACACACACAAGAAGTTTCCAGTTTGGAGGTGATGCAGATACACAGCCTGGGCCACCTGAGCTGCTTCCCAGACTTCCTGCATGTGCAGAGTCCCCAGGGGTGCTGGTGAGAATGTGGAGCTCAAGACTGTGGCTTCAAGGCCACAGTGCCTGGGAAGCCAAATTTAAAGGCATAGCAGGACCCAGTGTGACTTCCTATGCATGAGAAGTATGGAGGGGCTGTGACATCTCCCTGTATTGGAAGGATTAGCTAAGGTGACATCTTTAGCCTTAAGGGTTCTCTATAGATATTTCTCCTTCCTTCCTCTTGTGATCCATATGAAATCTCCCAAAAGAACTATGCTTCTTTCCCAGTAGAAATAAAGAACATTAAACTAAAGATTGTGATTTTTAAAAAATCTCAGTTGCTCTCTGGATACAGGTATCAGAGAAGTATGGCCCCAATCCATGCCCCTTGGGAGCCCAATGTCTACCATCTCCTGGGCTAGTCCCTCCTGAGAGGGAGGACACCTCCACTGTCTAGGTCTCCAGCCCAGGGACATGATCAGGAACATGCCAGGAAAGAGCCCTCCTAGCTCATGGAGTATGTGTCTAGCTTCCTGGGACTGTGGGGTGACATGGGGAACATGTGGTGGGGCCAGGCGAGAAGGAAGGGGTGGTCAGCTATCCCAGGGAAGCAGAGGCAGGAGCATGCTTGGACCTTCTTGCAGACCAGATGTGATGGTCAGATGGTCCTGGTCCTCACTGAGTCTGGGGCTTCCAGACAGCAACTTAGCCTCTGGAGGTTATTGACTGACCTTGTGTAATCCTGATACTGCTCTTTCTTTGTGAAACAACCTTAAAAGTCTCACATCAGATGTTCAAACGGTTATGTCCTTAACCTGAGCTTCCCTTTAAAGATACTCAGAGTGCAGTGAAAAATAGGAAGGTCTCATTATTTCACTTCATTTGGAAGAATGACTGCATGTACTATCAATTGTATTTAATGGTTGCATTTAAAAACCGGTTGCATAGAACAGAGAATCGTGGGGTAGCTGTGGCCGCCTTAAGTCAAGGCTTGGACCCAACCCAAGCCATTTTGAGCAACTAATAAAGGTGGCAGCGACACTTGCTCATTTGGCGTTCCTCAGGCTGTAAAGTAAAAGCCAGGAAACAGGAGCTTCAGGATCCAGAAGGAGAGACACCCACCCTATCACCTTTCCTTTCCTTTTCTGCCCCTTCCCCTTCCTCCCTTCTTCTCGTCCCTCCTCTCCACCCTACCGCCTGACCTAAATAGCTAATGTTCCTTGAGGACACCAAAGCGCACCCCCATCAGTTTGATGTGAGGATTGCAGGAAAGGAGGCAGTCAAAGTGTGGGCTGGGCATGAGGCCCTGGGTCCTGGCTGGGCTCCACCACCCCAGCCTGGGCAGGAAGCACCCTGAGCAAGGTGCAGTTCTTAGATAGAACCCAACAGGCTGTGGTCTGTCCTTTTCTCACAGAAGTGGTCGACCAGAAGGCTGTGTATTTCTTCAACCTGAGCTCCATACAGGACTCGGAGATGATCCTCACGGCCACCTTTCACTTCTACTTGGAGCCACCACGGTGGCCCCGGGCACACAATGTGCCCTGTAAGCCTCGGGCCAAGAGCGCCCTGTGCCGCCTGCCACCCCCAGGTCCTGCGCGCCTCAACGTGCTCTTCCGCAGCCTGGCACAGAATGCGGCTACTCAGGGGCTGCTGCGCGGAGCCATGGCCTTGACGCCCCCGCCCCGCGGCCTGTGGCAGGCCAAGGACATCTCTGCCATCCTCAAGGCGGCGCGCCGCGACGGCGAGCTTCTTCTGTCGGCCCAGCTGGACTCTGCAGAGAGAGACCCGGGGCTGCCCAAGTCCACTCCTCACGCTCCCTACATCCTTGTCTATGCCAATGACCTGGCCATCTCGGAGCCCAACAGCGTGGCAGTGACGCTGCAGAGATATGACCCTTTTCCTGCAGGGGACCCCGCGCCTCGCGCCGCCGCCCACAATAGCTCCTTGGATCCCCGCGTGCGCCGGGCCGCGCAGGCCCCCGGGCCACTGCACGACAATGAGCTGCCCGGGCTGGATGAATGGCCGGCACGAGCGCCCTTGGCCCCGCACTTTCACAAGCAGGAGCTGTGGCCTGGCCCATTCCGCCCGCTGAAGCCCCGGCCTTCGCGCAAGGATCGCAGGAAGAAGGGCCATGACTCTTTCCCGGCTGCCGCCTCGCAGGTGCTGGACTTCGACGAGAAGACTATGCAGAAAGCGCGGAAGAGGCAGTGGGACGAGCCGAGAGTCTGCGCGCGGCGGTACATGAAGGTGGACTTCGCAGACATTGGGTGGAACGAATGGGTCATCTCACCCAAGTCCTTTGATGCCTACTACTGTGCAGGAGCATGCGAGTTCCCCATGCCCAAGGTAGGCTGGCTGGAGTGCCTCCGCCCTGTTCTGCCTGTGCTCTGAGCCTCCCTCTCAGCTCTGCCCTTATTTGGTGGGAAGTTCACCTACCCGTGTGACTTCTGGTCACCATCTGCAGAGTGGAAATGGTAACCTCCCATCAAGAGAGACCAGAAATAGACGGAGATGGACACAGCCCCCACGTGTATTTGGTCTGTCTGTGCTTTGGAAAGCCTGACTTGGTTGAATGAGAATTTTTCAATCAGAACATGTCTTCTGAAAAGCAGAACTATCTCTGTAGAAGGGCATTCCCAGCAGCTGCCATCTACAGAGGCTGGCAGTGCTGCCTCATGGACAGGCAGGTTCCAGAGGCTCCCCCTGGCCATGGTTGTCCTGTTCCTAGCTGGGGATCCCCAGTGTGGGTGTGCTAGTCTCAGTGTCTCCCACTGTGGCTCCATCCCTCCTCTGGCTCAGGGCACCACCAGAGCAGCCAGCAAGACACAGAAGCATAGGGCTGTTTTATTGCTCTGGCCCTGAGATCTGAGTCTCCCCTTCCACTGGGCTGGATTGTGGCTCTGTCCACCTCGAGGCAGCTTGTGCAGGCCCTGTGAACGCTTGACTCCAAGCACATAGCTTCCTCCTGCTTGCTCCTCCAAGAAAGGAAGTCATTGCATAAATCCAGTTTGATCCTCACTAAATCAGGCCAGTGAGAAAGCACAGGCCCGGATGTAGGCTGTTTTAACCTGTTTGCAAATCAAGGGGATTCTCCTCCAAGCTGTGCATGTATGGGAGAGAGGAAGGGAGGAGCCTGGCAGAGACAGGGGCTGTTGGAGAGGCTTTTCATAGGCCTGAGGCAGATGTGAGGCCAGAACTCTACAGGCACACAGCTGGCTGACCCTGTGCTTACCTTATCAGCCTGGCTTGCTGCCTCTCCACCTTCCCAGACACCAGCCAGGACACCAGCTGGAGCCTCAAACGCGCAGGTGTCCCCATGCTGCCCCTCCCCCCACCACCTACATCTCTGTTGGCCAGCAATGTGCGGGAGCAAGTGACAGCTGCATTCATCTTGTCGGAGGCAGGGACGTGTGCCAAGCCAGGTCACTCTCTAGCTGAGGGCACTGGGTCAGGCTCCTTAGTCACTTTAAGCCTCAGTGTCTTCGCTCGTGATGTGAAGGTCGTATTCACCCTGAAAATTGATAAGATGACAAAACGAGATGATGTCAGTAGTGCTGCAGCTGCCATCCAATTCAGGCACAGCTGGGAAGTATATATGTCCAGCCCCCAGCACAAGCCAGGCCTGGATTTCAGGGTTAGGCAGCCCCTCTCTGCCAGGCTCCAGGTGCTCCTCAGAGATGTGTGACGCACGGCCGCCCCCCAGTGGCCAGTGCCTCGCATGGAAGCAGGATGGGCAGGCAGCCTTGGGGTCTTGCACTCAGACTTCAAAGGAAGGGCTTGCCCTGGAGTTCAGCTTTTCTTCTGGGTCACCATTTCCAGGGCCTCGATCAAGGAACAGCAACAGAGTGCTGTGGTCTGCAGACGTGAGAACAGGGGTGTGGGTGGCTGGGTGTGGACAGAGCACTGAAATGACCCTGCTCCCTTCTCACCCTGCAGATTGTCCGCCCATCCAACCACGCCACCATCCAGAGCATTGTCAGGGCCGTGGGCATCATCCCAGGCATCCCAGAGCCCTGCTGCGTTCCAGACAAGATGAACTCACTTGGGGTCCTCTTCCTGGATGAGAACCGGAATGTGGTTCTGAAGGTGTACCCCAACATGTCTGTGGAGACGTGTGCCTGCCGGTAAGGCCGCTCCGGAGAAGGCAGCCTCACCCAGCGGAGCCTGCGGGAGCTGGGCTTGGACTGGCAGAACATCTGTGGATGCAGGGCGGAACTAAACTGCAGCCCTACTGGACCCAGAAAGATCTTGGGTCTTCGCTGCTGGTGACAGAGCCCTCCGAATGCTTTCTGAGTCACACCCTGAAGGAGTCTGGAAGTAGCCCTGGCCTGAAGGTCGCCCATTGACCCACTGTCCTCAAAGCCTGCAAGCTTGCCCAGGGCATTGATCTGTGTGTTCATCTCAAATCTTGGGAGGGCTGTGAACATTTGGGGGTGCTCAGTTTCCATGTAGAAAGAACTGCTCTTTAAACGCTCACTTTAAAACTCTTTAGGCTACAAACTGGAAAAAGGGCCTCAAAGTGGCATAAATGTGTGTCTTCTTTCCCACTCCAGTGCAGATGCTTTTCTACAGTATGCACATATAACCATTGTGGGTTTCTTTCTTTTAATATATATTTTGTTTTAAAACAAAAGGGCAGGAGTTGACACCATTCCTCACAGAGATAATCAAGCTGGCTAGGTTGGGTTGTTTAAATGCGTATGAAAGTAACATACACAGTAATATGTTGGGATACTAAAAAATAACCAAGATTTTATATTTTTGTAAATTATACTTTGTATACTGTAGATTGTGTATGTTCTGTGTTTTTATGGAAAGCTAATAAACTAAAGGGGAAGTGGTATCTTGAAAAAGTCAAATGTTCCCCTTTCTCAACCATCGATCTATTTCCACTCATCCTAAGTCCAATGTATGGGTGGCTGCTGGGGACACAGTGACCTTCAAGATTGGCAGTGGCCCAAAGGTCATCTCCATACTCTCTTTCTGTCCCAAGCAGCAGAAAGCTAGCTGCTCCTAAGCATTGCAGGACCCTGCCTGCTCCCTCTGTTTTGCCAATCCCCACTCTAGCTGGCATCAAGAGGGCTATGGCTCAATGCAGGCACAGTGGCCTGCTGGGAGGTGACCAGGACATATCAGGCCTTTAAAGGACAACCTGCAGTTGCCTGTGCTCCTGCCACAAGAAAAAGGCCTTCTACATGGGGTAGCTCAAGCAGGAGGAGATGGCACACTGCCCTCTCGGGAGGTCCAGGTTCAGGAGGCACTGGAAGGACCATGTGTTCTCTTGTGCATGCTTGTAGAACAGCTGCAGAACTGTCACAAAATATCCTCTCCCAGATAACTCCACTATGCTTGACATTTGCATTGCCTTCCTGTGGTCCCCAATGGCTGGCATTTCAGAAAAGAACCTGGGTCCAATTCAAGGTAAGTGCATCCTGACCCCATCAGAGGGACCTGAGAGGGTGGCGTGGTCCTTAGTCAACCCATGGTGACTGTGAAGTTGCTAGGGTTTGTGGCGGGGAGTGTCATGTAGAGAGGCAGCTCCAGAACTCCTGAGCCCAGGGCTCCTGCACAAGGCAAGGAAAACACCTCGCTCCCGGAGACTAGGGGCAGGAGAGGTGAGGCAGCAAGAAGGGCCTAAAGTGGGTCATCCCAATGTATCAGCCCAGATCCAGTGTGCAGCTCTGGACCACGCACCATGCCTCAGTAGTAGCCCAGTCTTGAGGTGGAGAAACTGGACGCACAGCTCCTCCAGGCTTCCAGCTTCCCCTGAATGGGAAGATGACAGTCCCACTTCTCTGAACCCTCCTCTGAGGTGCTGTGCCCAATCTGGAGATAGAGCAGGAATGACTCCCTGTGGAGCCCAGCAGCTGGGTGGCCCTGCCCACAGACCAGTGAGCTGAGGCAGGGATGCCCCTGCACATTTGCTGTCTTGGTCTCCTCTTCCTGCAGGAGCTGTGGTGGGAACTAGAGGTTCCTGTCAAGCTACTGTAGGTGGTTGGGAGGTCGTAGATCAGCTGCAAAATTAGTGCTGCGTTTTCCATGTCGGATCCTTTTAAGAACATGGCAGGAGAGAAAACAAATTTAAATATCTGGGCTTGAAAAGACTCCAAGTCCCTTTCTTCCAAATATGAGAACCTCTGAGTGCCTCTCACTCCACCTTCTCCCTTAAACCATACCCTTTCCTCCTTTAATAAAAATGAGGTGTCCTGTGATGGCTTCATTTTATTCCTTCTGGCACCTGTAGTTTTAAGTCTTCATTTCTTGATTCCTGGAGCGGTGGTGGGATAGACTCTCCTCAAGGTCCAGTAGGTGCTGTCGTCCCCAAGTGTGCCATGAGGCTTTGCAGTGTGGAGAAGTGGATGATGCACATCCCACCTCTGCGGTGGAAGGATCTGGTGACATCAGGGGTCCCTCTAGCTCACAGAGCAGCCTGCAGTTTAGAAATGGCATCTGACTTAGTCTCAGCAGCCTTGCAGCTTACTGCCCAGTTGGTGCCACAGCAAATCACTCAGCATAAGTAGCATGTCCATTAATGTCTTCCCAAGAGCACAGATTGGTGCCCACAGCTGCCTGAGTGAGGGTCCACATGGCTGGCCCCAACCCAGACTTCCCAGACTTCCCAGTGTGTGACCCCTTCTCCAGGTCTGTTGGGATTGCCCAATGTCATTGAGTGCTATTGTAGTAAAGCGAGATTTAAGAAGGAATATAGCTCAGTGCCTAGTGTGTGCCTAGTGTGGATGAAGCCCTGGGTCTGAACTCCAGCACAGAGGAGAAGAAGGAAGAGAAGAGAAGGGCAAAACATGGATGAAAAAGCTTCTCCCTCAAAATCAAAATGTCAACATTATATTGACACAAGAGCCAAAAAATTCCCATACACAGCCTTGTTGTGCATGGTCCCTGCGGTCACTCAGCTGCCTATGTCAGTCTGCAGGGAGCAGTATGGTGACCTGATGCTGGGCCTTGGCCCCGAGCTTACAAGGTGTGATATGGCACATGTTTACATTTTTAAATTTATTACAGTATGTCTCGGTTACCTTTCTCTTGTTGCTGGGACAAAATATCTGACGACCAAAATTAAGGAAGGAAAGGTTTATTTCGCTTACAGTTTGTGGAGGTTTCAATCCATACTAGGCACGATTATAAGGCAGAGTGGCACGTGGCAGAGGGCTGCATCTCAGGAAGGCAGCCACAGCTAAGCAACAACTCACTTACACTGGGGCGGAATGAGGGCGGAGTGCCCCAAGCACTCCTTCCTCTACCTTACATATGCAAACTACCCACCCGAGGGTGGGTGTAGCTCTCACACCCACATTCAAACTCTAATAGCCTGCCCCTGGGCCGCAGGAGGCTTTGGGGAGACACACAGACAAAAACCATAACACAGTATAAACAAGCCCACACCTTTTAATCCCCTTCAAAATCCTCCCCGTCCCTTTGAACACTTATCCCATCAGTTTTTGCACTTTCTAAAGGAGTTCTGGAAGTTCTTTAGTGAGTGTCTTTAGTGGTGCTGTCTGGATGCTCTAAATTAATTCACAGTGTTTACCTTTCATGGTCATTGTGACTTTGGGGAAGAGCAAGAAGTCACAGGGTGCCACATTTAGTAAGCAAAGTGGATGAAGATGCACTAGAATGTTTTTATGAGCCTGCCTTTTCTTTGGGTGGCACTCAGCAACAGTATTTGTAGTATTTTTTAATCACACCTTGTAAAGACAGTCACAAAAGAAGGCTTCCAGAACTGCTTCAGAAAGTGGCAAGAATAATGTGATAAGTATCTTCAAAGAAAAGGGCAGTATTTGAGGGCATTCATGGCAGTGTGTCCTTTACTGTAATAATTTCTTAAAATTTAAACATACTCTAGGTTTAGGTGAGCCTTTGTACATACCCTCTGGAAAGGTCTAGCATCTTAGGGATACTCCATGTGACCCGTACCAATAGCACAATGGACAGCTAGTCACTCTCAGGCCAGAGAAGTCTTTGGGAAGTTCTGGTACAACTCTTTTCCTCTAGAAGTAGGGGAACTGGGTCCTGGTACTACCAGACATCTTACCTTAGGCATCGTAATAAGTGCTCCTATGTCTAGGTCATTCATAAAATATCATCAGGGTCATTGCTACCTATAACTAATGCTGCTTCTGTGGCCAGGATAGAGACAGCTGAGGTGCAGGAACTTACAGATGTCCGGGATGGTGGTAGAAGGGTGTGGGAGGGAGCTCTGGAGGAGGATGAAGGGAGGAGTCCTGGGATGAGTCCTGTGGATGCCACAGGAGTCCTCCTTTGGGTCCAGCTGTGAAGGGAGAGCCAGATCTGGCTGGTGGAGTCAGGGCACACAGTACCACATGAGCAGTGTGTGCAGCTGCACATCAGGGAGCCCAGTGGGAGGTGGGTAAGTGATTATTTCCCTTCACCAAAACCTGAGAATTTAAAGTCCTTCACAGATAACCAAGCTTCTGGGATTTCCATACTCCTCCCTGCTCCCTAAGGTGGCCATGTTCGTCCAAGCCATGGTCCACTGTTCCCACCTCTGGAACTTATCACTCACTGTGATCCAGTCTTAGGCGCCCGCCTTTGATGTCTCCAAGCAGTCATTTCTATGATGAGGCTTCAAGGGTTTCAGCCAGAAAATGAATGCCCCTTGGCTCAATCATTACTCCGTATTTGGCACCCACTGTGGACCAAGCTCCTTACTAGGCAGTACACTCAGCCCTCCGGATCCGTGCCCATGGCTTCCAGATCCTCAGATTCAACTGACCTTGGAATGAACATCATTTTTTTAAAATTGCCTTTGTGCTGGCAGTGTATAGGCTTTTTCTTGTCATTATTTCATAAACAGTATAGTATAGCAACTGCATTATATTTTTATATATTAAGAGTTCTAAGTAACCTCAAGATGATTTAAAGGGAAGGTATGGGTAAGTCATATAAGAATACCACAGCACTTTGTTCTTAAACACATTTTTATTTTTAATGGACACTTAGGACACTTAGTTATGACACTGTACATATCTATGGAGGACAAAGTAGCATTGCAGTATAAGTATGCAACATGTAATGATCAGATCAGGTAAGTGACATATCTGTCACCTCAGACAGACTTAGTGGGCTTGAGGCTTAGGGTTCCATCCCTAGCATCACAAACAAAACAAAGTACAAAAAAAAAAATCATTTTTCCGCGTCTATTGGCTATTTTGAAATATTCAATTAGCTGTTGCAATCATAGTTACCCTGCTGTGCATAGAATATCAGAAGTTGTTCCTCCTTTCTCCCATGCCCCTGTAACTACTTACTGCACTGCAGGTGTTTTATTCAAAGGACTTGAGCATCTGCAGAGTTTTATATCTGCAGGGAGCTCCTGGAATCAGTCTCTCCTGGACACTGAGAAGCAACTGCCTTATTTTACTTTATCTACCTTTCTGATCCACATTGTGGTGCATAGAGGGAATACTTAGCTGCTCAAGTTATTGGATTCCATTCCTAGCACTAAAAACAAAAACAGTGTGTGAACTTGAATGTGCATCAGAATCACTTGGAGGGCTTGACCCAGGTTCAGGGCCCACCTGTTTCCAACCAAGACAGATTCTATTCAACCCCAAGGGCTGCCACTGGCTCTGGACTCAAGTTGAGATCCATCATTCAAAGGAAAGTATTCTAGGTGTGGTCACCAGCCAGGAGGGAGAAAAGCAGGATGCTAGGGGCCCCACTTGGAGCAAGAGGGGTCCCCAGCCTGCTCTCCTTGGCCCTAGCTCTCCTTACACTCAGGGTGGATCAAGTTTTCCTTCCTCTGAGCAGCCTGCAGGTAGGTGTGGATACTGAGCACCTAGAGGGAGGCACAAGTGCCTCCCTCTCCTGTGATAGGAGTGGTCCCTGACTCAGGAAGGCAGCCCCATCACAGGTGCTCAGGGCATCTTTCTCACGCCATGATGAGGTCAAGGTCACTGCTTGGACCTGAGACAGATGGATGAGCTGCCTCTGCCTCTCTACACCAACCACCTAGACATCCACAACCGAGAAGGAGGGTGAAGCCGAGCTGGAGGTGGCTGGGAAGAGAGCCCGGGCTGCTTGGCACCTGCATGGCACAGTCCTCGGCTAAGGGGACCTACAATCCGAGTCCATCCAGGGAAACCCAGCTGCTCAGAAGAAACACAAAGGCTGCACAGCCAAGGGAGTTCTGAGCAAGCGCTAGCATGTGGTAGGAGCGGCCAGGGTAGGGCAAGCATCAGGAGGAGAGTGACCCAGGCCCAACAGCAGGCTGCCAGGGCAGAGGCTCTGTAGAGGGGATGGTGAGTTGCCCTCGGGTGAGGACAGGGACACAGTGACTGGAGGGTCGGGCACTGTGCTAACAGTAGCAATAGTGACTGTGACCTTCATGGTGTCCTGGGCTCTGCGCTAAGTGCAGTGTGCTCCTGAGAACACCCAGGGTGTGTGAGGTCCTCGGCCTGTCTCCTGGACAGTGACAAACAGGACTTCTGAGCATGGACTTGGACCGTGCAGGTGAGACTTGGCCAGTGCCACACCCTTTTGGCTGAAGTCTGAATGGGGCAGGAGAGCAGGGGTTCAGCTAGGTGCTGAGCACACCACCCCCTCCTCAGGTCTAAGCCAATCAGAGCACTGCGTTTCCTCAGCAACCACGATTGGCAAGGGCTTAGGCAAATGATCCATTCAGGACCAGGGAAACCATGTTATTCACTGGGACTTCCTGCCACAGGGCTCCTCTTCCCCACCCCTAAGGGCATAGGGTGGGTATGAGGCTGGCTCTGTGGAGGGTGGGGGTCAGGGATGAGAGAAAGAGCAGCACAGGGCTTAGCCCCCTCCAGCTTAAGCTGTTCTAAAGCCAAATTGTCAAGGAACTTTCTGATTTCATAAGTCAACCATCACTCATTTGAGCCTGTTTGGAGTTTGCTTTTCTGCAAGTTGCAGCAAAAGGAACTCTAAGTGACCTAAGTTTCTATAACTTTCTGAAAGAAAAGCAAACCCCTAGATACTTAAGAGAAAACCAAGCCCATGCATACCAAGCCTGTAGACACCAAACTTTCTACATTAAATGATTTCAGAGGTAAACCAGAGGCAGACATTGCAGACACCTGAATCTGGGTTGTCTTACATTTTATATCTGGTTTTGATTTATCTAGGCATACACTCAAAACCACCATAATTCAGATCTTCAGTCTTTGAACCATCGTGCAGATAGACCTCCCTGGGTAAGTGAGGAATTAGGAGGTGCACAATTTCATGGTGGGGGGGTAAATGAGATTTTTTTGTGGTTCAGTCAGGGCTGCCCCTTCCTGAGGCCCCAGCAATAAAAGTTGGTGAGAGGAAAGGGAGGGGTCCTTCAAATAGAAGTCTTAGCATCTTGTAGGAAAAGCAAAGCAAGAACCAGACCTTATTCCCTATGAGAGTTATGGAGATGTGTTCAGACAAACCAAGGCCAACTAGGAAAGGTCTAAAGGCCCTGGACATCACCTAAGGAAGCGGCGGTTTGGCTAGTGAACCAGGGTCCCCTTAAGAACCCTTTGTGTAAAGGGTAGCTGGTGATGAAAGAGTGACCCCTGCTGGCCAGCCACAGGGGCATGGTTCAAGAAAACAGGTAAGTGGGAAAGAGTGCCTAGAAAGCTGTTACTTTGGTGCTTTATGGCGGACACCACAGATAGAAACCTGGACCAGTCAGGGAACCTAAGACAAGCAGGTGTCAGATATATTGGACCCCCAGCAACAAAGCCAGGACTGTGACACCAGCTGGTGGCCCCTATTCTGACCCTTTTCTCCCTCCCCACTGCTAGCATTCAGAGCTACCCAACCCCATCCCCTGCCCTTGACTAAACCCAGGGTGCATTTGGACTTCCTGATAATATCAGGATACCTTGTGCAAATGAAGACAATAAAGAAATGTGAACATATGGATAGGTTGAGCTTGGGAGATGATAATTCATACACACACAGGCACATTGCACTGTCCAGCTGTGGGGACTGCGAGAGACCACGTGACAGGCACCCAGGCAGCCTCTATAGCCAGATGTGATAACCTCTTATATAAACAAGGCTAGAGCCCTTTATCTTCGGTCTCCAAACCCAAAAACTTCTGGAAAGTTCAAGTTTCTTTTTAGCTCTTATAGCAAAATTTGACCTTCAGGAATATTTTTGTATTTACGTATTTGTTTCACTGCAGAAATATTATGTGTTGGATGATAAGGCATCATTTCTGATCCCTATGGGGCTATTACCGTATGTGCAATATAATACTAAATTTTACAAATCGGAAACTTTCTCTGTCTCAAAAACATTCTCAGCCATCAGGATTTCAGAGGGGGGTTTATAGAGCTTTATATGTTTCAAAATGTTAACTGTGAGCATTGTTGGACAAGGGCGAGATTATGAATTATTTTTTGTTTCCTGCTTTATGTTTCAAATTTCCCAGATTTTCTGTACTGTAAACTGCTATCAGAATAAAAATCAAATCTGCAGCATTTACAACATGACACTGGGCAGCAGCCCCTGTGCATCCCCAAGAGCACTCAGACTGCCCTGTAGGGCCCCCTTGCTTAGCCTCTGGAGTGAGGGAGGCTCATGGGCAAGGGGCTGCCCACCATGTGCCCCGCTCCTCCAGCCCCCACCCTCCTCTGCAGCTGCAGCTCTCCTTAAGGGTTTTCCCTGCCCTCTGGAATCCTTGTGCTGAGCTGGACCAGTGCCCAGCACACTTCCTGCCCCCTCCCCAAGCATGATTTCTGCAGCTGTGCCAGTCCCCTGCTCTGCTGGTCATGTCCCCAAGGGACAGGACAGCAAGTTCTGTCCGGTCACTCGGGGACTCCTGGCTTCACCCTTCCCCTGGGGCATCTCTCACCGCACCCTGTCGCCAGTGGCTCTGCTGCATCTCCCTGAAGCTCTTTGGCTCTCTGCCCCACGGGCAAGGTCACCATCAGTCCTCCCCAGAGTAGAGCACCCTGCCCAGGGCCTGGTATTTTGAACTGTGATGCCATGAATAGTGGGGATGGACAGGGACCAAATATGGGCACATTGCTTTTAAAATAACACAGTCTCTGGGGCTCAGAAGCTGCATCAGCCTCTACCAGCTGGGAGTACAACTCTGGGCACATAGCCACCTCCAACCTCCCACCCACACAGACTTCGCAGTCCTCCTAGCTGTCAAGTACAGCCCAAGTGGCCTCAGCATTGATCTGAACCAAGACCTCATCACCCTCTACAGTGACTGCGCTGGGATTCTAGAGCAGCAAGATATGTGTGCTTGTGGCACTGCTCAGAGCAGCGAGTGGACACGCGTTTCCTCCGCAAACTCCAGTTCCATCAAACCCACAGCAGACAGTGGCAACCTGAGCACATCAAGACCTTAAATCCTGACCACTGTCCTCTCAACTGCAGTGACCTGTACCGACTCATACTCACAGGGAGGAAGTATGGGAGGAGGATTTGAACCCTCATCTACCCTACTCTGAAGTCTTCCCCATCACACTGAGTGACACCAGCACATACATACTGCATCCCCAATCCCTGCTGTTCAGGAGCCCATTCCCAGTGGGAGCAGCTGAGCCACACTGGCAGGCCCTGACTCTGTAAGCCACAGGCCCCTGACACGCCCTGATAGAGTCCTACGCACCACCCACCCTCCTGACCCCGGATTTGTGTCATCTTCTGAGTACTCTGTGTTGTTTCTATATTTGGAGGTCCTCTAAATGATAAAGGAGAGATAATATAACGCCCAACCCGCTAGATGCTAGATATACCAAGTTTGTGTTCCCCAAAATAGAGGAATAAATTCTAAGGAAAACAGAGGTTAAGAGTAGGAAATATTCACTGCGGGGGAGAGATACAGCTCCTGAGACACAGGAAGGACCCAAACGAGTTGCTGCAGATTCTGCTTTACAAAGCAGCGTTTTACAAAGCAAAATCATGAGATAGGTACAAAATCACAAGGTGGGTACAGTGTGGGGCAAAACTACAATCAACCGATAGGATTACAAGTATAGCCACTTAGGTAATATTGATCCAGTGGGGAAGCAGGTCATGTAGCAAGTTCACATGGAAAGAACATGGACCTTTTTTGGGAAAAATGAGTCAGGGTGTCCTGGTCACCCACCTCAGTGACTGATGTCTATTTGGGCTTATTGGACTAGGTAATACTAATCAGGTAACACTACTATACCAGATAATACTAGTATAATGTTTATCCCTCGGGGAGGTATATAGGCATTCTGTCTCCATCTTGAGGTCTGGCCTTCGTTGACTGGACCTCCAGCAACAGTTGTAATGTGTTACCTTCTACACTGACTCCCTCGAGGGCCCAGCCCTGCCTGACACCATACTATTTCTACCTAACTTAGTTGTCTACAATATTTTCAGTCCTTTTTCTTGGATTCCTTGATCCATGGCCCAAGAGAGGGACACGTGTCACCCATCTGCAGAGTCTTCCCAACAGAGCTGACAAGGAAGTGAGCAAGGGTCCTAATTAGCAGGAGATAACCCGGCACAACGCAGATCCTTTGCAGTTGGCCATGTCCTTCCCACAGGCCTGTGTGCTGGCCGAAGTCTCGGATGTTTATAGAGCCTTCATTAACAAGAGCTGCCTTAGATAACAGGCCTGGGGCAGCGCTGAAGCCAGATAAGAACAAGTGGCGGACAGTCCAGGATGCAGGGCGAGCCTGAGCTGGCCGGGTGCTCCCTGCAGACCACTCGGCAGCATGATGTGAGCCCAGTGCTCCCTGGCTCCTTCCGGCACCCAGTGACTTGCCACCACTACCGCAGCCCTACGGCCTGCTCTCCAGGGCCCAAGATGTCTCCTGGGGCTCTGTGGCTGGCCCTGCTTGTGCCGTCCCTGCTGGCCTACCTTGTGCAAGGGAGGCCGTTGCAGAGCGGGTGGCAGACATTGCCAGGGGAGCCTGGCAGCGGGCGGCAGGAGAGCACTGTGGACCTGACAGTGCTCCTGGAGAACATGAAGGTGGATTTCCTGCGCAGCCTCAACCTGAGCAGCGTCCCCTCCCAGGACAAGACCAAGCTGGAGCCACCGCAGTACATGATCGACCTGTACTACAGGTACACTTCAGACAAGTCTTCCACCCCGGCCTCCAACATCGTGCGCAGCTTCAGCGTGGAAGGTACAGTCGGGGCCTGGGGGTGACACATTGGCCAGGGCAGCTCTGCCAAATGGGGAGGCATATGGCCACATGCAACCCTAAAATCCCCCGTTGAAATTCATTGGAATGAAATAAAATGAAAATTCTTTTCTGAAGTGGCCAATAGTTGTGTGAGGCTGATGGATGTCACAGTTGTGTGAGGCTGATGCAAGTCACAGGGCCTGTGCAGCATCTCAAAGGTTCCTGCAGAAAACTCTGTCCCTGGCCACAGACAACACCGAAGGCATCGGTGCTCAGGGGTGCCAGCCCCTCCCTCACCTCCTCTCCTCCCTCTCCCCTTCTTTCCTCTCCTTTCCTCTTTTCTTCCTTTCTCTTCACCTTCTCTTCTTGCCTTCCTCCCTCGGCTTCTCTCCCCTTCTGTCTTACCCTCCCTTGTTGCCTCCTTCCAACTTACAAATTACTTACTTCACACCCAACTAACCAGTGTAATTTTAAACTTTGGAAGAACACTTACTCCTCTCTATGAAGAGCTTTTAAAACCCAGATGAGAAAACCTTTGGACAGACAGGTGTTGGAAGAAAACTACCTTATTTTTCTAACTGTGAAATTCCTTGACTTAGGAAGACTAGAAGTAAACACCGACTTAACCTGAGTCCACTACTCATTAGCCTGGGGCAGCAGTAGAAATGAGTTCAGGACAGTGTGGCCCAAGTGCGCAGGTGCGGGGAGCTCACCTAGTCCAGGTGTGGGTGAGAGGTTAAGTAGCCAGACTCCCACCAAGCTCTGCCCTCTGTATAAGTGACATCGGCCTTAGAGTCCCAGTCAAGGGCTGAGCGTGGGTCCTCTACCCCTGCTGGGCGTCAGACCTACAAATGCCCCAGGGCCAGGCTACACTCGCCTGGTAGGCAAAGCCACTAAACGCACAACGCATGTTCACTGCTGCTAGATTTTCTGATTACCCAAAAGAAGAACATCTGGATTTTATATGAACTTGCCTGATTTTTAAAATTCTGCTTTTACTTTTAAAAAAAATGCACTCCACAGTATGCCGGGAGCATACACCTGTGACCCCTTAAGAGAAGATTCAATTTCCTTGGTCAGGGTCTGAATTATCATATCCCAGGGGCCCACAGAGGGAAGACGCAGAGCCCAGCGGTAGAGTGTGGGAGCTGGGGCAATGTGCTGGCCTGGTCCCATGCTCCATCCGAGATGGCCAAGGGAGGGTATTTTCTCAGTGTCTGACCATGGTCTGCTGGCACTGACAAGCCATGCCCCAGTCAGAGCACATGAGTTGTAAGGGCAAGGTCCCAATGCATTGGCTGAGGGGCAACACATCCCACAGGAGCGGAGATAGGCACCATGCTGGGCAAGAGAGCCCAGGGAGGGGGTGGAGAGGCCATGTGTTTCATGTGTGTTGGGGCTGTGCAGAGGTTAGGAGGGCACAGACCTATTAACTGAGCATCTGCTATAAGCTGGGAACTGTGTCGCTAAAGTTCTGTGTGCACCTTGATAAGGCTTCACACCCATTCTAGAGGCAGGTAAGACAGAAGAGGAAACTGAGGCACAGAGAGACTAAGAACTTTGCAAGGTAATAAGTCCAATGAGGGGTGAGTCAGGATCAGCTCTTTGTGTGTGGGATTCCCAAGCCTGAATGACCAGTGTCAGCAGAACACCAGGCCTCTGCTCTTGTGGGTGGACACACAGAATGCCCCAGCTCTGGGTGCCTTCCAAGGTTCTGCTCACTCAACATATCAAGTGGAAAATTCCAGAATAGGCAGTTCCTACGTTCTGAATGATTAGTATTACACTACATTGTTCCAATCATTCTATTTTACTGTAATCACTGTGAATCTCTTACTGTGCCTAATCTAGACATTAACACTCATAAACGTGCATGTGCGGGGAAAACAGAGAGAGTTGGGGTTTGGCACTGCCGGAAGTATCAGGCATCCACTGGGGCTGTGGACTGCATGCCGGAGGATAAGGGGCTGGCTGGAGATCTCAAAACCAAGCCACTTCTCTTCCCTCCTTGTGAAGTGCCATGGGATAATGCAATGGCCAGGTGTCAGCTTAGGAGAAATGGGAAGTAGAGAGAATTATATGGCTGAACAAAAGCCTCATTTTCAGTTTCCATAACAAAACCACCCACTTTCACTTTGCTTGAAAGTTACAATTCATAGTGATGTCTACATGGTTTAGAGGCTGAGATTTCTCATCTTGCAATAGTGGACTTTTCAGTCCCCAACCAGGGTCTGTATACCCTTGGGATTGCCACACTAATGCTGCCAATGCTTTCATTTTTCTTTATTGATCAAACATACTAGCTGTGTGCATTTTGGCAACTGAATACCTTGAGTCTCCATCTTCCTGTCTGTAAAAGTGAAATAAGAACTAGATTCCCCCTATGGTAAGTGTGAAGATTAAAGTAAAATGCAATATGTGAAGCTCTTAGCATAACGCCAGCCATGTGGTAGTAACTCAACAGACAGTAGGAACTGTCAACCCCCACTGGAGGTGTTGCTTCTGCTTTCCCTTGGAAGATCCCAAAGGAAGCTTTCAAAATGCTTTTCTACTAAGGGTTTAAAGGGAACTAAATAGAGATAATAGAGATAAATCTGTCCTCCCATGAGTCCTTTCATCCAAACCAGGAGACTCAGCTTAGGGGTCACAAGGGTAGACACTCCGGCCCTGCCCATCTTGTGTCTTTGCATTTCAGATGCCATCTCCACAGCTGCCACCAAAGACTTCCCCTTCCAGAAGCACATCCTGCTCTTTAACATCTCCATCCCCAGGCACGAACAGATCACCAGGGCGGAGCTCCGGCTCTATGTCTCCTGTCAAAATCACATGGACAACTTCCGTGGGCTGGAAGGAAACATGGTCATCTATGATGTCCTGGATGGAGAAGATGCCTGGGATGGTGCCTCAGGGACCAGGACCTTCCTGGTGTCTCATGACATTAGGGGCGAGGGCTGGGAGACCTTAGAAGTATCCAGCGCTGTGAAGAGGTGGATTAGGGCAGACTCCTCCAAGAGCAAAAATAAGCTGGAAGTGATGGTGGAGAGCTGCAGGAAGGGCTGTGACACATTGGACATCAGTGTTCCCCCAGGTTCCAAAAATCTGCCCTTCTTTGTCGTTTTCTCCAATGACCGAAGCAATGGGACCAAGGAGACCAGACTGGAACTCAGGGAGATGATCGGCCATGAGCAGGAAAGCATGCTCAGAAAGACACCCAAGAGCAGCTATGGGGAGTCAGGCGAAGGCCATAGGGAGGAAGAGGAAGAAGGGGAGGAGGAGGAGGTTGCGGCAGGTCACGCTGCAATGGGGTCATTGTTAGCCAGACACAAGCGGAGCATCGGGGCCAGCAGCCACTGTCAGAAGACCTCCCTGCGGGTGAAATTCAAGGACATTGGTTGGGACAGCTGGATCATCGCCCCCAAGGAGTACGATGCCTACGAGTGTAAAGGTGGCTGTTTCTTCCCCCTGAGCGATGACTTGACACCAACAAAACATGCCATTGTGCAGACACTGGCACACCTCAAGCATCCCAAGAAGGTGGGCAAGGCCTGCTGCGTGCCTACCAAACTGAGCCCCATCTCCATCCTCTACAAGGATGATGGAGGGGTGCCCACCCTCAAGTACCACTATGAGGGCATGAGCGTGGCTGAGTGTGGGTGCAGGTAGTACCTGCCTGGGGGACAGGGGAAGGCAGGGGTTCCTGGTGAGAGGCCCTGCGTCCCTTGGGAACAACAGGGACTACATGGCTCTTCAGGTCAGCCTGGAAAAAGGAAGGGAGACTGCTGTCCTTCTTGTGACACCGCCAAAGCACACTTCCCTGGGCTCCACCCCTGGCGAAGGGGACACGAAGGATGTGGACAGAGTAGGAGAAGGGGATGGGCCTTAGGATGTTTGATTTATAGGCACAAAAACCAAAAGCCAGCAGGCCAGCAAGTACTCCTGCTCAGGTCTGTGCGGCAGCAAGGCCTAGGACCTGCGTGTCAGCCAGTTACTCTGCAGTACAAGAGCGGTTGATGTTGGGAGGCTGGAGCGCTGGGGCCAGGCCGAGCTTGTCACATCAGGCTGTGACCTGCTCTCTCATGTTTTCCTTCTGTGGCCAACGGCCTTCTAATATCATCCCCGGGTCACTGGAAAACTGTCCCCCAAACCCAGCTGCAGGCTGCAGAGAGTGCCTTCAAGACAAGTCCTCTGACATGACCTGTGACAAAACCACTGTGATTCTGGTGCTGTGCACAGGTCAGGGATTCACAGAGGGACACACAAGGTCCCTGGACTCCACTCTGTGACAGTCTGAAGGGGACAGCTGGTGTCCCGCCCCTTTGTGATGACCTAAAAGACTGCCCAGCTGCCCAGCATAAGGTAGTCATGCAGCCCCTGCCCAAGGAGACAGAGGGCAGGGCAAGGGTTTGGATTTGTTGGATTTAACTATGCTCTCAATTTGGTATTTGAAATGTCCTTGTTTTTACTCCTTGGAGACATGCATTCAGGTGATAAAATATCCAGCTTTCTGGCCAGGGTCCCCTGGCACTTGAAGGCCCCCTTGTCGGCCCCCTTCTGCAGGTTTCTGGAGTCACACAGGCCCTGTCCCCACGGTTTCACCTGCTTAGGGTCCTTCCTGTCCTCTGACCCTGCTGCTGCACAGGGACCTGCGTGGCATGAAGAGGCTGAGAGGCACGGAGGGTCTCCTACCCCTCCCCTCCCTGCGGAAGCCCCCACACAGGAAGAGAAAGTCAGTGTTAAATGTTTACATGGAATCAACGAGCAACTTTAATGAAGCACTGAGTTCAGCTCCTGGAGTTGGAGAAAGTGTGAATGCCTGGTTCCTGCCAAGCAGGGTGATGGGACAGGGCTGTTCCAGTGGTGGGTGACTCTTCTTCCCATCTTGGGTGTGCGTTTCTATGTCTGTGTGAAGCTTCACTTGGAAATAAAGTCAAATGCTGATGTGAGGCCTTTCTTGAATATTAGGCTGGCGTCTCAGTGTACCTGCCCCCACCTGCCCAGGAGTCCGGAGCTGCACTGTCCTTTACCAGGCTGGGGAAAGAGAGGATACACTGGCAGTGTGCCTGGTGCGCTGAGCGGACACACAGAAATAGCTGCAGGTCTCCCTACAGGGCCCAGGCCACACAACACCTCCAGCTCCCTCTACCACACTCTGCTCAGAGCCTCTCCCTCTCCTCTGTCCTGTCCACATTGTCCTGCCCGCCCTCTAGGCTTCCCCACCCCACACAAGCCCCATGTCATGAGGTGGCCTGGAGCTTGGGCCATCCCCAGCCCCACTTCTGCACCCCTGGCTGTGCTCTGTGTGGGCACAGGTCTGTGTCACACAGCTGTCACAGACCTGGCATGGTGAGTTGCCACCTCATTTCTTGTGCTGTTGTGGCCATGCATCCTTGATGGTGATCTCTTGCCTTGTCACCCTCAGAGGGCCCAAGTGACCCTCAGCACAGGACAAACAGAAGCAGTCATGTGTGCAGGGTGGAGCACAAAAGGAGAGACCCCAGAGACCTGGGGCTTCCCTGCCACCCCTTGGCTCCCAGCTCAGCTGCCACCTCACCAGGGTCCAAAACTTGAGGCTGGGGTGTGTGAAGCAGCTCGTCCCACCCCAGCACTCTCTGAGCTCTCAGCAGATAGGGCTGTTGTTCCTAAAGGAGTGTCGTGACCAGAGGAATGTATTTTGTTTTTTTTTTTTTTTGGTTTTTCTCCGGTACTGGGAACCGAACTCACGACCTTGCGCTTGCCAGGCAGGCGCTTTTGCCGCTGAGCTAAATCCCCAGCCCCAGAGGAATGTAGATCTAAGGGACGAACGAAGGGTCCTTCCAAGAGCCTCAGACACTCACACACTTTGACAGAGGAATTCTGGCTTAGTCTCTGCTTTTAGAAATAGATTAAATGTTGAATAAGGTGGTGCACATCTGCAATCCCAGCACTCTGGGCAGCTGAGGCAGGAGGACTGCAGGTTCAAGGACAGCCTGGGCAACTCTGCAACTTAACAAGATCCTGTCTCAAAACATAGATAGATAGATGATAGATAGATAGATAGATAGATAATAGATTGATTGATAGATGATAGATACATAGGTGATAGATACATAGATAAATGATAGATACATACATTGATAGATGATAGATACCTAGATAGATAAATGATAGGTAGGTAGGTAGATAGATGACAGATTGATTAATAGATGATAGATAGATAGATAGATAGATAGATAGATAGATGGATAGATAAGACTGGGGATGTAGCTCTTTGCAGTGACCTTGGGTTCAAACCCAAGTATTGAAAAAAATGTATTAAATATGGGAAATGTCTTACTGTTCAGAAAATATTTTTTTCATGGTGGAAAAAAGGAAACTATGTAAAACAAACAATAGGGAGTAATTTAATGAACTCTGTCCTCGCCAAAGGGGCAAAAGATTTGAACAGACATTCACCAGGGAAGATGTGCCCAGTTGACACAAAAAGAATACTCACCACCATCAGTCATCAAATACAAATTAAAATCACAACTAACCTGTTAGGACAGCCAACATCAATAAATATGCCCCTGGGTGTCCATGGGAAGGAACTGGAAGTTTTCTGTGCTGTTGGTATGAATTTAAATTTTCATAAAATGTTTAAGAATTTTCTTAAAATGCTAAGCACACAGTCCTAACCTATGTACTTCTCCAGAAAAAAAATGAAAATATTGATTTACACAAAGATATACATGCAAATATTCCTACCAGTTCTGTTTGTAACAGTCCTGTACTTAGACACCCTGGGGATCTATGACCAGGTGAGCTAGTAACACATCCTTGTTGTGACTGCACAATGGAACATTACATAGCAATGAAAAATAAAAATAATAGAACCTAAGGGGAAGCACAAGGAAAACTTGGTGGTGATCATAATCTATGTTATCATACCTGTGACTATGGTTTCACGGTGTGCACACATGTCAGATCTTAGCAAATTATGCATTGCACAGAGGGGCAACTTACTCTATGTCAATTATGCATCAATTAAGTTGTGAAAAATGCACATTTACTGTATAATTTAAAAGTTACTGGAAAAAATATAATAAGGAAAACAAGTATCTATCCCTTGAATCAAAATCCAGGAAGCCCATGTTTAAGAATTATATACAGAATCAAAAAGAACTGGTTCTGAGAATATTTATATGTGAAAATGAGAATATTTATCACAATATCATTTGTGGAAGAATATTTATCACAATATTGTTCATAAAAGAAGAAACAGAAGCTACTTAAAATATACCTCACTGGGTGTCCTGGTTCATTTCTGTTGCTATAACTGAATGCCACAGACTAGGTAGTTTATAAAGAGTAGAAGGTTATTCTGCTCATAGTTCTGGACATTTGGAAGTCATACAGCATGGTACCTGGTGGGCATTTTCCTGTATCACAACACGGCAATGAGGTAGAGAACAGACACTCATGGGGAGAAGAGATAAATAAAATTGTCAGGGCTGGATCTATAACCTGTTACCCACTTAAAGTAAGATGTGCCTCTAACCCACCTTCCCTTTGCAACAGTGCATATGATGTGTCAGGTCTTTCCCACTTCCTGCTAGGAGCTCTGTAACAAGCAGGATGATACCATGAGAGCTCCAGTACTAACAGGCTACCAGTCCCTATCATACACAAGGAAAAAAAAATCCCTTAAAAAAGAAAAAAAGGTTGACAAGAACTCCTGTATTCATGACTCAATACACCAGCAGCCCCGAAAAGCTGGTCACCTTCCTTCATTGGCAGGGACAGCCTGATTGCTGTCTGCCACCCGGCCCCTTCTTCTTCCTAAGGCTCCACGAAAGCTTCTCTGTATGTGTTCATGTCTTTGCCTTTGTTTTCACCTCTCTTATCTCTGAGACAGATGTTCCCTTGCTCTAGTACCCCTGAGGCAGAGCATACCTGCCAGCTGAAGTCTCTCCTCCTATTCTCAGAAAACCGCCAATGCTGTGATGGGAGCCCCACCCTCACTACTCCATCTAACACTAATGACCTCCCAGAGACCACACCTCCAAATATCACTAGCATGCAAGTTTGAGGGTCAAGTTTTATATGCATGGGTTCCAAGGTTCACACACAAACCATAGATCAGGAAAGCAGAGCAATACATCATCAAGAACTGTTATGCACCCATGAAAAGGATGAGTTTGATGTCGCCCCTTGAACCAGAAGAACATTTGTGCTTATGTTTGTGTGTAGTACAACTCACTGAGTGCACTGCTTGGGGACACACAGGAAGAAGCACAGATGCGTGGTGAACTGGCTGGTGTCTGTCACAGCAGCAAGCAAGGTGGATACACTGTCAGGGTTATTACTGTGAATAGAAGCCTAGTGGGAGAAAAGCCTTGAGAAAAGATTGTCCACACAGTTTTGTGAAAATGAATGTCTGACTCTTCTATTTAGAAAAATAAAAACTAAAAAGTAGAAGTATTACAATGAAATATAAGCAAGGCTCTTTTGGTTTGAAAGCATCCAAATATGCACCAGCTTGAGGGTTTGTTATAGTTGATATATTGTGTCAACTTGAGGAGTCTAGAAGCTTAACTAAGTGACTCAGCAGGTCTACATCCTGGGGTGAAAAGGACATGCCCTTCCTGATCTAGGATGTTGTTCATTGTGTCAACTTGAGAAGTTTAGAAGGTTAACTATGTGACTCAGCAGGGAGCCAGGGTGCTTACTTTGTATTCATCCTGAGCCTGTGCAAGAGAAAGGCATGGAGATGGTATGAGTGTAGAGGAGGCCCCTCTGCCCCAGGGTGGGTAGGCTGCATATAATAAAAGGGAAATAAGGAAGGACGGATTGCTAGTTCCTCAGAGGAGCTCCAGTCTTTGCCTTCAGCTTGGTCATCTGGCTTCTGGTGCAGGCTGCTTGGCTTCCTCCTGGGACTCTTCAACCTTCTGATGAAGACTCTTTGGCTTTCATTGTAGTTTCTTCAGCATTACATATAGAACCATCAGCCTCCTGTTACAGACTTACATGGACACTGCAGTGAGCTCCAGCTTGTGGACTGGGCTCCTCAATCTCCAGTGTGCAGACACCCTCTGCACGCTTCCTCATCCAACTCTGTGGCTGATCATTGTAAGCCAAACTGTGTTTCAGAATTGAGGCAGAGGCTATACTAGGTTCCAAAATGGCAGTGGTATAGAGAATTTGTTCCTCAGAATTTGGGACCAGGAATGTGGCTGCTGCTATGACTATACCTGACCATGTGGTTCAAGAGCCTTTGGAAAAGGCTTGTTGCTTTTGCTATTTTCTACCCTATGAACTGTTGCCCTCTGCCATGTGCCACTCTGCCTTGGAGCCAGCCAAGAATGGACTTAAACCTCCACAAACTCTGAGCTAAATAAACTTTTCCTTCCTTAATTTTGGGTGTCAGGTATTTTGTCCCAGCAATGAGAGAAAAGTAACCAAGACAGGGTTAGCGAAGGGGCTAGACAGATGAGTGAGCCTAGGAAGGGGTGGCAAAATTCAGTGGTAATGTCTAGCTGGGGAATGTTAAAATAATCAACTCTGAGGCATTCAGACAGAGGCAGCTCCATTACCCTGGCTTCCTATGTGAATAATGTAAAGCCTGACTCAGACTCATTTTCTATAAGTAGATCATTTAAAGAGAAATGAAATTCAAGCTCCAGAAATTACAGAAAGCCCTTGGACACCACCCGGATGGCCTTGATACTTGTAGGGGCAGTCCAAAGCTATTGCTCAAATTTGACCAAGCAAACCACCTTTGCCCTGCTGTAGGAGAAGTCCGGCTCCAGGTAGGTCTGCCAATTCAGAATTGGTGTCTACTGTAAAGGCCTCTGAGCTCAATGTGTGAAGTTCATCTTTTAACAGTGCTTCCCTTGTGAGCCATTGAGGGAAAACTCACATAAAACAATGGACAGACAGACAGGGCTTTGCCACTGTGTGGCGTCAGTCTGTACTGCGACAGTCA